CTGTTGATCCAGACGATCCGGTACCTGATCCGGTGCCCGCTGTCGTGCCAATTGACTCAGAGCCCGCTGTCGTGCCTGGTGATTCGGTGCCCACTGCCTTGCCAGATGACGCGGTGCCCGCTAGCGAGCCAAATGACCTGATGCCTGGTGACCCAGTGCCCGCTGTCATACCTGATGACCCGATGCCCGCTGTCGAGCCAGACAATCCGGTACTGATGACCCGGTGCCGACTGTCGTGCCAATTGACTCAGAGCCCACTGTCGTGCCTGGTGACTTGGTGCCCACTGCCTTGCCAGATGACCCAGTGCCCGCTGTTGAGCCAAATGACCTGATGCCTGGTGACCCGATGCCCGCTGTCCAGCCAGACGATCCAATGTCTGACCCAGTGCCCGCGGTCATGCCAGTTGACTAGGAGCCCACTGCCTTGCCAGATGACGCGGTGCCCGCTGTCGAGCCAAATGACCTGATGCCTGGTGACCCGATGCCCGCTGTCCAGCCAGACGATCCAATGTCTGACCCAGTGCCAGCGGTCATGCCAGTTGACTCGGAGCCCACTGTCGTGCCTGGTGACTCAGTGCCCGCCGCTCCGCCTGGGGGCCCGAGACCTGTCGCTCCGCCTGGGGGTCCGGTGCCCGCCACTCCGTCTGGGGGCCCAAAAAACCTGTCGCTCCGCCTGGGGGTCCGGCGCCCGCCGCTCCGCCTGGGGGTCCGGCGCCCGCCGCTCCGCCTGGGGGTCCGGCGCCCGCCACTCCGCCTGGGGGTCCGGCGCCCGCCACTCCGCCTGGGGGTCCGGCGCCCGCCACTCCGCCTGGGGGCCTGAGACCTGTCGCTCCGCCTGGGGGCCTGAGACCTGTCGCTCCGCCTGGGGCCTGAGACCTGTCGCTCCGCCTGGGGGTCTGGCGCCCGCCGCTCCGCCTGGGGGCCCGAGACCCTGTTGCTCCGCCTGGGGGCCTGCCCGCCGCTCCGCCTGGGGGCCCGAGACCTGTCGCTCCGCCTGGGGGCCCGAGACCTGTTGCTCCGCCTGGGGGTCCTGGTGCCCGCCGCTCCGCCTGGGGGCCCGAGACCTGTTCGCTCCGCCTGGGGGGGGCGCCGATGCCCGTCGCCCCGCCTGGGGGCCCGAGCCCGTCGCCCCGCCTGGGGGCCCGGTGCCCGTCTGGGGGCCCCCCGTCTGGTGGCCCGGTGCCCGCCGCTCCGCCTGGTGGCCCGGTGCCCGCCGCTCCGCCTGGTGGTCCCCGCTGCCTGCCGCCGCTCCGCCTGGTGGCCCGCTGCCTGCTGCTTCGCCTGGTGATCGATGTGCCTCTGCCCGGAGTCCAGCCCGGTGTGCCTCTGCCCGGAGTCCAGCCCGGTGTGCCTCTGCCCGGAGTCCAGCCCGGTGTGCCTCTGCCCGGAGTCCAGCCCGGTGTGCCTCTGCCCGGAGTCCAGCCCGGTGTGCCTCTGCCCGGAGTCCAGCCCGGTGTGCCTCTGCCCGGAGTCCCAGCCCGGTGTGCCTCTGCCCGGAGTCCAGCCCGGTGTGCCTCTGCCCGGTGTGCCTCTGCCCGGTGTGTGCCTCTGCCCGGAGTCCTGCCCGGTGTGCCGCTGCCCGGAGTCCTGCCCGGTGTGCCAGTCTTTGATATCCCGCCAGTTACCAGACCCGGGCGGTGGAACATTTTGCCCAGCTAGGTGTCAGGAATGGACTCAGCCCTGGTGGTGGGACTCTCACCTGCCGTGTGGGCTGCAGTACCAGAGCTGACCAGCGGGTGCTCTCAGCACTGGTGGTGGGACTCACCTGCCGTATGGGCTGCAGTACCAGAGCTGACCAGCGAGTGCTCTCAGCACTGGTGGTGGGACTCACCTGCCGTGTGGGCTGCAGTACCAGAGCTGACCAGCGGGTGCTCTTAGCAGCCAGAAGCTCACAATCAGCCAAACCTGGGGCTGATTGCAGAAAGGTGTATTTAAGCCATGACCAGGCCTGTGCTCTGGGCCTTGGTGTATGTTTTTCCCATGAGCCTCTGTACCTGGTATCCTGTGTTCCTGCTTCGTTGCTGACCCGGCTTGAGTCTGACCTCTGCTGACCGTCTCCTGTTGAACCCCTGGCTTGCCTGACCATCCTTCTGCCTGATCCCCTGTACCACGCTGTCCATGAGTTACTGAACCCGGCTTGTGACCTTGACTATTCTCTGCCTGCTCCTTTGGTACCTTGCTGCCCGCACGTTGCTGACTTGGCCCGTCTGACCACGCTAACTACTCTGAAATCCATCCATCCTGCACGGATCCAGCCGTACCTGCACATACCTCTGGCGGATCCCTCTACCACTAGCAGGTGTACTCAGGGGCCGCGACCTGGTTCCTGTCTGCTCCAAGTCCATCCCCACCATCAGGGGCCCTGGTGAATAAGCAGGCTGGGACTTAGACTCCGCGCCCTGGGGAATCCTGTCCTGGGGACCACTAGAGGTACCACCAAACGGTCATTACAGAACCCTACGGCCGGCCTGACTGTTCCACCTCTCCAGCCCTGACTGCGCCTGTGTTCCTGCACCTACTAAGATTAGTGAAAGGTTGGTTTGTTCACTGTGCGTTTATATATATATATATATATATATATATATATATATATATATATATATATATATATATATATATATATATATATATATATATATATATAATAATCTGGGTGGCTAATAATAAACTGTATTATTATACTATACCTGAAACCTGCGTTTCCCTGTGTCAGTCCACACCTTTCTGGTCATTCCTAGATTCCTGACACTAGGACTGTTTGGAGCGTTCTGAGGCCGCTCCTTGAGGGGGGGGGGTACTGTCAGAAATGGACTGGCCAGCAATGGTGGGACTCACCTGCCTTATGGGCTGCAGTACCAGGGCTGGCCAGCGGGTGCTCCCAGCAATCAGAGACTCAACCTTGCAGCCAGCCAAACACCTGCAACTGCTTATACTGGTGTATTTAAGGGATGGCCAGACCTGCAGACTCTGCCTTGGTGTTTGTTTCTCCTGGGCCCTGTATCCTGTTCCTGCTCCCTGTTCCTGTTCCTGTCTGATTCGTTGCTGACCCTGCTCTGATCCCTGGCTTTGTCTGACCATTCTCCTGCTCCTGATCCCTGGCTTTGTCTGACCATTCTTCTGCTCCTGATCCCTGGCTTTGTCTGACCATTCTCCTGCTCCTGATCCCTGGCTTTGTCTGACCATTCTCCTGCTCCTGATCCCTGGCTTTGTCTGCCCATTCTCCTGCTCCTGATCCCTGGCTTTGTCTGCCCATTCTCCTGCTCCTGATCCCTGGCTTTGTCTGACCATTCTCCTGCTCCTGATCCCTGGCTTTGTCTGACCATTCTCCTGCTCCTGATCCCTGGCTTTGTCTGACCATTCTCCTGCTCCTGATCCCTGGCTTTGTCTGACCATTCTCCTGCTCCTGATCCCTGGCTTTGTCTGACCATTCTCCTGCTTAACCCATACGTTCTGACCTCCTGTTGATAATCCCGGCCTGCCTGACGACGCTTGCATTGTATGTACTGTTATCTGTGGGTGGTTTGGTTTGGTTCGTTTGCACTGTGTATGTTTTAGTATTGCACTGCGTTTATGTATTGTTAGTGTTAATAAATTATATTTATAACATATCTGAAGCCTGCGTTTCCCTGCGTCAGTCACATACCTCTGGTCATACCCTGGAGCCCTGACACTTCCTTACCACAAGCTTAAAAAAGTCATTGCCTACAGGTTCTTGCCTACAGACTTTGAGCTTGTGTTGATGGCATCAGTTTGACATAAACTTAAGAAGCTTTTGAGATCATTCAGAATTAATTGACAGCTGCAGTTGACCTCCTTCTGATCTGCATTTCAACCGCTTTAAGTGTGTTTTGCATTCACATTGGCTTGTATGAGAATTCAAAACCCACTTGAAGTCAACAAAAGTCCCTCAACACAGGCCCTAAACTGAAACATTTGAGTCTTAAGTTATACACTGAGCTCTTTTCTGTTTATTCACTATTCTATGCAGAATCCCACTGGAGTTCACAGTACCAAGTTGTGTTGCATTATTGAGTATAAAATGATCGTGAATATTTGAGTTCCAAGTCAAATATATATATATATATATATATATTCTAGATTTGGTTAAATCATCCATCAGTTTGTATATGGCTCAGGAATACTGGTGTTGAGAACTCTGCACATGATTTCCCAGTTATATTTCACAGCAAAAATGCAATATAAAGAGTGAAAATCCACACTGTAGGCACAGACCAAAGCTTGTCAGCAAAGATCTCTTAGGTTTGGAATTCCCAAATATCAGAAGCTAATAAATAATAATAAAGTATCATTTATAGAGGGACTGAAACATTAAAATCCCCCTAAAGTAGCTTAGTACTCAAGTAAAATGTTCATTTTTTTTAATGATGTAGGTGGAATCCAAATGATGTATGTGTATCTCTTTTTGTGTTTTATTGGTGAAATCCAGATAGATGCATGCTTAGGCTTCAGTTTTATGATTCATTTAGACACATCTTGTGAAAGAAAGAAATATTTACAAAGAAAATAAAAACAGAAATAAATTATAGCTTGCATCAATATTTATAAAGTACACTGTAGTAGTCATAAAGAGTATACAACTACCACATAACTGAGGCAGATTATTAAAAAAAATGAAACTTAGGTCAAAGGGCTGGATCACAGACATGATCTGAGTGAAAGCCAAAGATGCAACAGAGCATACTGATCTTGCAATTAGAACACACCGTTCCAGTGTCTAAATGCAGTCTCTCAGGGTAGATATTTATTTCTAGAGCGTCATCCTAAAGAGAAGCTAGAGTCATTTCAGGTGATGGTTGTGCAAAGCTAGTAACCTCATGACCATCAGATATATGATTATTTCCATCAGCATATAGGAACTCTTCAGTCTGTCAGTCACTTTTGCAAGGACACTAGACCTTACTCTTGAAAGCATTTAATGGATCAATTATTTTTGCTCAGAGCAACCAGTCAGATTTTCCAAGTTATGCTCCTGGAGGGGT